ATTTATAGTTAGATTTATATATTTTGAATATAGCAAGTCAGCATTTGTAGACATTCCATACAGGCTGGTAAAGATTATTCTGCAAGCGCCATGATGAAGAGCAAGCATTTCAGGCAGCTAATAGCTCCAAAGGAGCAGCACTGCTCGTATGAATCGCGTATGATCAAGCCGGTTCAAAGAGTCGTACAGTACCCTCTTCTCCTCAGAGCCATCCAGTCTTGCTGTGATCAGGAGAGCCTTCAAGCAAAGCAGGTATGACTGATATTTTCAATAATGAAAAAATTATAATAATTAACTCTTGCACTAGAAAATTATTCGGCTTCGTTTCGTAATATTTCTGAGAGAGAAACCACTCACGCAACTTTGCAGTAGTTTCGATCCTTCTATAAGGTCGCTTCCGGATACTAAGAAGTAGCCTCCTAGCCGTTGGGGGCAGTGTTCACGATGGTTTCGAGGGCGGTGCGCTTTTGATGACGCTACTGAACTTCGTTGGAGGACTAGACACTCATTGCACTGGGGCTTTGGTTGAGACCAGGGTTAACCGCCGCGTTCGCACTTTTTCAAAAATTTGCGACCTCACCTCTTCAAAGGGGGTCTCTATGCGACTCCCCAACACCACTATGAGGCTTTTTCCCAATACGACCACCCTCCTCCCTAGCCTGACCACCACCACCACCCTCGCCATCATGGCCGTTCGTGATTACTGCCTTCGAGGTAGCGCAGACCCTTCTCTTGATCTTGCTGGCTAGTTAACAAGATTCGTGTCCGAACTTCATAAGAAGTGGGCAGGATCAAACTAGGATGATAAAAATTTACTTGAATAGACAATCGCAAAGTTTATGTCAAGGTTTACCTAGAGCGATGCTGTAATGACCATGAGTGCACGGCTTATAGTAGAGGAAACTGATGATCAAAGTTGTTCCAGGTAGAGGTAGCTCTGCAGAAGATGCAAACTTTGGCTGAATATGTGAACGAGATGCAGCGGGTTCATGAGCAATACGCCCCACATATTGACGCCTTACGCCGACAAAACGACGTGTTGTTCAGAGAGAAGGTAGTTTGTTGTGCGACTATTTGGAGCTCCTAGGGATTTCTGCTGATTTCAGGGCCTACGAATCGATGTCAGAGATTTGGTACTTTTTGCCCATGTACAGTGGTTGAACGCCGAAAAGTCGATGCAGGAATATGTGATCTTCGTATTTCAAAGTCTGATTCTCCTGCTACCGCGGAATGCGAGGAGAGACTGCAAGGTAGAAAAGTTACTTCCACATGTCTTGAACATAGGCAGGAAGGTATTTGTACCTTTGTTAAAGAAGTCTGCACGGGTGACAAAGAGTCTGACTTTCAACGTTTCAGACCGTTGATGTGATATATCTGCGCACACCAGCGGTGTGTATCCGCCGGGGGCGAAAACCAAGCCAGAGAATGAAAGAAAAAATACGGTGTCCTCACGACGACGAAAAGCGCTCTAGCAGCTAGGAGTTAGTCTCGAAACCTTAATTAGCTCCGCCTCCAAATCGACTCCGCCTTCACGTGGACCTATTAGCTGTTGGAGAAACTGTTATAATTGCCTATTTTATTCGAAAGAGCAGCTCAAATTCAGCTTCCAAACTACCGTATCATCTGCTTCTGCGCTACCGTGTGTTCTATAGGCGCGCCTCGGTCCTAGCAGGTACCGTCTTGTACTCACCTCAGTTGTAAACTCGTCACCGCCTCAATTCATACGGTAGCAATTTCGCACCTTTGCAACTATATTTCATCCGGATAAAACCCTCGACTTTTGGTTTAGAATAATATTCTTCAAGAGCAATGGGCAGCGCGATTATTAAAGCTCTGGTAGTAGAAGGAGCGAGATCTGCTAAAAGACCTATGTATTGAACGAAATCTCGTCTAGGTTAATTTTTCCCTTCTGGGGATTATTAAAGGAATCTTGCGCGGAAAATTCTTGCACTCTTTCCTAACATGAATATGTCAGTTGTGATCACTGGAAATAGCACACAAAGTTTCACGCATGAAGATTCGGTTTCTGAAGAGAAACAAACGTACAAAAACTACACGTTATGGACCATCGAAGGACCAGGAGGCAGAGCCAGGCGAGGCATGGAAAGAAGACGGCGTTTGGCCGGCTACGTACCAGGCGACGCAATGAGAGAATCGGGTTAAAGCGCGCGATTTCGGAGAGTGGAGACAAATCGATCGATGGAATAGGATGGAGTAGAAGTGTAAGATGTGAATGCAACGAAGCAGAAGGCCAGAAAGAGCTTTCTAGTGAATGCACTCCAAGAACCAAGTTTGAGCATCCCCGTCGCCAGCATTCGTGAAAGACGTCCGTGGGCAATTCGAACGCGTAGCAGCCTTTTCGAGTTTTCGAATTTCTAATCAAAACGAAAGCAATACTTCAGTTCTTTTCACTATTATCGTGGATAATGAGTCTCAAGCCAGTGATTTATGGCTGAAATAGAATCATGATTTTTCCGCGCAAGATTCCTTTAATTTCGTTCCAGCCCATTGTGAGGCGGTAAACCTTGAGACGTTGGGTAGCCTTCACGATGCTTTGCAAAGGCTAGACAGGGTTCCAGGGTGCTGCTTCAGTTTCTTACGGAGGTAGATATCTCAACATTGATGCGATGACATTGTCGTGGTTTCCGCGAACAGCGCAAAGAATTTGGTCGTTAATAAATGTCTCGGCCGTTAGAGAGCACCAATCTGGAGAATTCTGACTAGCACCATCTACAGATTGACTGCCTTTCTGACAGCCATTCGAATACTAAAAAGGTATGAATTGTTCGAAATGGATGTTGTTTGGCATCCTTTGCTGAAATTTCCTGGTTGTAAGGTGTTTAAAAGCTGTGAAGATCGTTCTTGAATTTTTGAAATTTAAGATGAAATTGACACGAGTGCTGCCGATCAATGAAGTTCAAGTCGAAGACGATCGAAAAGATGACCCAGTGCTCACCATCGTCCACACAAGGACTGTCGCCGAACGGCATTACGGTATCTTCGATTTTTGCATTCCACCGGTTTTTCTCATACTTTCTCACTGCTTCAGAAAAAGTGTCCCTAATACGTTTTAATTTGGCCTGTTCAGAAGCTTTGTGCTGTCTTACTAGACAGTATATACAAAAAAGTTCTAAGTGTGTGTGCGCGAAAGACAACCGCTATCTTAACACATTAACGACGCCCTTTTTCGTCTTTGGGGGCAGGCGCGGTTTCGCTGCCGCCTCACCTCACATCCGTGGATTTTGTGTAGTAAATGAGCAAAACCATAAGTTTCAAGATTAGGCAAGTGGACGAGTGGGCGATAAGAAAAGCATACGCCTTGATTTGTTGCCTCACCCACTGAGCGAAGCTTACGCCTACTCGCTTAATCGCCTAGTCGCCTACTCGCCTAATCGCCCAATCGATACGTAACCCTCTTATAGATTTATCGCCTTATCGGCTAATCACATGTACGATCGCTAACTCTGAAGACTGCTTGAGCGATTTTTAGCTGGCAGTCATATGTGCTGCCACCAGCGTGACTGTGTCTAAAGGTATACGACGTAACTCACAGGGCTGGAATATTGATCTAGCCGAGTTTTTGTAGCAATTTTGGATCTCCTTTTTTTCTTCCTCTAAGAAATGCTTTCTGACACGAATGTTCGGAGTCCCAAACTGTAATTGGGGCGGTAACGTGTACCACCATCGAAGTAGAGCTCACAAGAGGAACTTATACAGTACCATAAATGCTCAGGAAATAATAACTCATTAACGTCTTGAAAATGCCGCTGGCAAATGGTTTTGTTGTGAGAACCTACCCAAGATTCTGGGAATGATCCCTATTCCTCTTGCAGATGCCGTCTACCACATTGCATGCTGTCAATTGACTTTGAAACATCAGCTTATTCGAAGTATTAAGAAAGCTCGAACTAATTTCAGGTTAGTTTTGATCCGAAATTCTGCCTAGATTCAAATTGAAGTAGATTTTTCCAGCCGTGAAACACGACGACCGTTGAGCGGCTCAAGTCAGTCTGATGGTGGCTACGGTAGCGATCCGGTGAAGGACAGGAAGAGCTCATAATATTTATTTGAAATAACCAATAGGCTGTTCGGTATTCTGTAACGAAAAATGGTTATCTCTTACTAACCGCTAAGCTCACGATTAGGTACCAGTGCTGTAAAAGAATGGATATTGTCTGAAAATTTGAATTTTTACTTGTTGTCGTTGTTTGTGTTATTCCAATGAGCGGAAATGCCAGCGTAGCCATGTCAGGCCCATGCATTTCTGAATTTATATCAACAACTATTTGATTGACCAAAATTCCTTTATGTAAGCTTTTGATCCCTCTTCTCATGCGAAAATCGTCAGCATCTGTTCGGGTACCTCCATGCATACTCAGCCTTGTTTCTTTGTTATAGAATCCTGTATCGATTTTCTGCTGTGATTTTATTTTTCTGTTTTTTATGCTGAAAAGGAGGTAGCGATAAACTTCTCTGATGATCATTTGGATGTATCTGATAAAATGTATTTGACGTTTGGACTATTTGAGCACTATCATTATCAATCCTGGGTCGAATGTCAAATCCTGCTGTGTCCAACCTAGGAAAAGTAAGCTGGCACCAGGCTTCCCCTGAGGATTGAGAAGTGAAGGTATAGTAACTAAAACCCGAAATTTGTACGTCATGCTGCGGCTTAAACCGCGTTCGTCGGCGGCGCGCAAAATGGTTAGTATTTGCTCTGGAGAGCCAGACATTCGCCTTACTTGGGAAAGATCAAAGTTGCGCACCACTCTTTTGATAAAAAACTTGAAGGGACATACCGTAGGGTTTGTATCGTGCAGCCAGCTTGAAAAGTCGTAGTTCAGAGAGGCGGCACCACTGCGGATTCTTGGAAGACTTATAAATTGGTGATTCATTTTGAGGAAAAAATATTTTTCGCATGACGTGATAACGGACTTTTCTGCAATTATTGTGAATTACGAAGTCGATATTCCGAAAGTTGGGGTGGGTGTGTCACCGGAAGTGACGTGCACTTGATAGAAGTGCGTGGATAAGCTGTTGCCAGCATGCTTTGCTGATAGCCAGCGATGTATGTTGGAAGCAGCTTATCCACATAGTTTCTATCAAGTGCACGTCACTTCCGGTGACACGCCCACCCCAACTCACCGATATCGAGTATACGTGCGAAAAGTCGCGTTTATACTCAACGTTTTGGGGGTTTAGGCGATCAAAATTGGTGAAAGATGTGTATTGATTTCCCAACTGTGCTCTTTGGCGCTATGCACTATTACAACCCCAGTAGGGGTGAAATGGGTCAATTTTTTGCTGAAACTTCTCCCGTGGAGCTCATCGAGGGTCCTGATCTCTATGAAACCCATGTTTGGCACTGGCGCAAATTGGCGCCAGTGCCGAAGGTGGACTTCATATTCGTGATCAGGACCCTCGAACACCCCCATAGAGAAGCTTCAGCGGAAAAAAACTTTTGACCCACCACACCCCTACTGGGGTTTTAGTAATGCCCCTGATCTTCCGAAACTTGAAGTATGAACGCGACCAAAATTTCACGGAAAAATCTTGAACGTACACATCCAAGAAAAGATCG